CAACACCCGTGGTGGGCAGAGCACAGATAGCTCATTGTGTAGCTTTGTGCTTAATTACAAACAAACAAACTTAACTATATAGATATATTTGTAGTAAAAGAGGCTAAACCTTCAATGAAAATCGCTTATTGCTTTTTACGAAGAACATTAGAGTGAGTCCAGAAACCTGTATTAAGAGAAATTTTGATACATGTTAAAACTAACCTATTTTGAAAATCATTCAGTCAAAATATAACAACTAATTATCCTATCACTAATTTGTGATAAGTAAGAAACGTAAGAATAATAGAGTAAATGATAAAACCCTAATGCTTCAACAGGAGGACCTGTCTTCACCAGGGACAAAGACCTTTTACCTGTAATGAAGACAGCTCTATCTGTCGAAAGCGCTTGAGATTTATCGTCTCTTAAGATATTTATTCATAAACACTGGAAATTACTTTTTTAAAATGTAAGATCTGGCTTGATTAAATATATCTGGAAAAGGTTTATAATTTACTACCAATCCCATCTGCCCAATTATTATTACAGAAAAAAAAATGGCTGTTTCATTTGAAGAAAGCGCACACGTTTGATCTAATTTCATCAACATCGTGCATTTAGAATCTTTGTTGGTAAACTAAAATTTGAGAACTGAAAAAAAAAAAAGCGGGTGACAAAAATAATTATAGAAATACGAGGTTTTATAAACCAAAAACATAGCAAAACTAAATTCTTTTTAAAAAAGGAAAGAGAAACAGAAAAATGTTTGGGTGAATAAGTCACTAACCCAATAGCCTTCCCGATTGGTGGCCCGAAATATAGAAAGTGCACTGTGCCCTACCGGGGAATGCTGTGGTGAACAGTCGGAGTCAGACATGGAGAGGATCACAAACTGTGAAGGACAAAGAGATTATTGAATCAATAATTGATATCAAACAGTGGCAATAGTGTTTCTTTTTTTAGTTTAATTAACACGTCATATCTATGTTCTGGTTATACAGCTTATTGTGATGTCAATTGCATTTTGTTAATAATTTTGGGGTTCTCAAATGACAAAAAACATTTAGGACGGTTTGATGATTTTGGAAGAAAGGGTAAGTCAAGTAGTAACTTACGGATCAGGTTAATGGAAATAAACATTAGGTTTGTACACGTTTACCCAAAAATGAGTTAATTATTCTACCCTTTTCCTAACTTGTAACTGATAAACCAGATAGACACTCAATCCTGCTTCAGTTTCATAACCGATTAAACCGTCATTTTCAATCACCGTTGTCTCTGTACTTTAATGTAAGAATTATGGTGGAACAGGCACTGTTTTTTTTCTCTAATTTAAAAAGTAGATTGTAACAAATGCGCGTACTCATTGTGCAAGCGCAATTAATCTACATTTTAACTTTTAAGCTTAAATATCTCAATATGTTGTTGCTGAACAACCTGCATAAATACAGTTTAGCATCAGGGTTTCAAGCATCTGGATATACAAAATGAAAAATGTAATCTAAAAAAACAGGGAAAAATAAACATTGAACTCTGATTCAAAAAAGCTTAACAAAATTGCATTTTATGGATCTAATTACTCGTTAAATTCTAACGCTTTTTGGATCCTTAAAAAACCCAGCAATTTACATGGTTTTCTTGGTCTTCACAAAATGCAATTTACTGATACATACAATACTACTCATTTAAATCATTGGAAAATATATATAATTTTAGTTATATTTCCTACAGTTTTGTAACTTCAATTCGCCCCCCAGTGGGACAGCGGTATTTCTGCGGACTTACAACGCTAGAAACCGGGTTTCGATACCCGTGGTGGGCAGAGCACAGATAGCCCATTGTGTAGCTTTGTGCTTAACAACAACAACAACAACTTCAATTTATTCTAATATACATATATTTAACAATCATGTCATATTCGATTTTGTTGTAGTGAATGAAATGGGTTAATGATAGAGAATATTTGAGCAATATTTATAGAACATGAGCATACAAGCATGTTTATTATTTAACGTTTTTGAATGTAAACACAAAGCTGTTGAAACAAGTATTCGCGATACCATTAAAAAGACGACAAATATTTCACTGATATTTAGTTATTAATACAAGGATTAGTTCTCTTTAGACCTGTACTTCTACACAGTTCAGGTTTTTTTTTTCTAGTTTGCAGTTGATCATAAATTGAGCACCTGTAAAAATATTTGTGCAGTTGAAAATTGACCTATATAAGTAAGTTCAAGTGGATAAATATTAAAAAAAAACATACTTAAGATATTTTAATAGGCCTATATATGTGAGGTGTAATAAGGCGTCATGTATTAAAAGATGAAGAAGTTAAAATATAATCGTGCAGTTGAAAACAAAATCCTTAGTAAAAGCTCTGACTGAGTTCCATGTCTATACAACCTCCCTCCTGTTATTATGAAGTTCACATTGTAAAAGTAGCTTACAAAATGAAAACACAGGGCATGTTTTTACTTCTCAGTCAAGTGCATATTCATGTAATCATGCTTAGTTTGACGAAAGTTTTGCAATATTTTTTTATGTATATACGATTTGAAATAGATTATTCATCTCTCTTTTTGGTTTTCTTATTTATGACTATTATAATAAATATCCTGTGTCAGTTCGTCTACGTGAGACTGGTTGTTTGAAAGACTAAGATAGCTCATTCTGAACTTGTCGAAGGTCGTTAAAGACATTCAATTTCTAGAACACAAACAACAATACTTTATACAACAGTTACTAATATCGACTCCACAAGAGGATGAAACACGTAACACACAGCTCAGATAATTTAGTACTCTTTATTTATGGCTTCCTTAAAACACAAATTATATTATAAATTGGCAAGAAATAAATAATTAATTTAAGAAAAAAAAATACTTCAATACTAAGAAATTTCTTAGTAAATTTCTTTGTAAAACAACAAAGTACGATCTACTTTTTCCCTCCAGTGACAAACTGTAACATCAAAATAGTAAAAGTTCATAACTTATAGAATATGGCATTTGGAGTAACAGGCTTTCACACTAACATGAACGTCAATAAACTATTGTATACAATGTATTTTCAACGGATATACGAATTTAACGTTGATGATTTATAATTTGTGCATTCATTTGTGCTTCTGTTTATGTACACCAGTGTAATGCCACGTTCTAATTTCTCAATATGAAAATATGTGCTAAATATTTTATTACTGTATGATACACTGTGTAAGCTCACAGTAAGTTACGAAGCCACAAGTCACATCATGCGGCGCTAGTTGTCAAAAATAGTAAAGGTAAAGAAAAATAATTCATGATAAGTTTAGGTTTTAGTCAGTGTGTATGATGAACGATATTAAGATATTTATATATATTATCGTGGTGAATGTAGGTTTCAGTCACTGTATGATGAACGGTATTTTGATACTTTGCATTTCACTGTCGTGGCGAGTTTAGGTTTCAGTGAGTGAATGATGAACGATATATCGATACTTATATCTCACTGTCGTGGTGAGCTTAAGTTTTAATCCGTGGGTGACAAACTATGCTTTGACACATGTATCTCACTGTTGTGGTGAGTTTAGGTTTCAGCGAGCGTATGATGAACGATGTGTCGATACTTAAATCTCGCTAAGAATCAACTTTATTCTGTCTTTAGAACCAATAATGTAACCTTTAAAAAGTAACTTTATTTTTCACTTAGAAAAATGTATAATATTGATTTATTTAGAATAACGCCGAGTTCATTTGTGTTAACATTTATTTTCGTATACTCTGACTAGTAAATTCCAGATCGAAAAGAAAGCTAACTTTTCAATATATGTAACATACATGGCAATTTATATCTTATATATCGTTAATAAAGTTTAGTTGGTGATCAGAATAAATGTTTACAATCTTAACAACGTAACATTAACAATGAACTATTTCTGTTACAGCTGTTTATATTGCGTTTTTATGTCCCCATATGAACCTAAATAATCTCTCTCTATTTTGGATTCCAAGTAACGTACCAGAGATATCCGCGATTTAATAAACTGTCAAGATTACAAATATAATTGCATTGACTCAGTATTTTTATAAGGAAATTATCTAGTAATTATGCAATGGAAAGTATAAGTAGTTGGGAAACGTTCTCATAAATTATTTAACCTATTTCTAAACGATGTTTGCTGGCTTACATAATCCATATTTTGGTACATGCTTAGACTGTATTTACGAAGTAGTTGTATACACAATACACACATGTATGTTGCACAGGTAATGTTCTCGGACCAAAAGTAAACCTTTAGTGCAACGTATATCATCAAGTTATATGGTGAAATAACTTGATGATATAAACGTTACACGAGAATTTTGCGAATCTGCTCAATGATCCTAGTAGCTCGTTAATGTGTTGTATATAGTTGTAAATTATATTCGTTTTTGCTGTTCAATTTTCAAATTGAAAAAGATTAACACAGCAACTAAATTAACAACTAAAATATAGTGTTTAATTCCTAGGTTGTACATAATGATTGTTTATCCCAATTAAGATAATTCAAACACCAGTTTTGACAAGTATCGGCTTACTTAGGCGAAATAATATAACTTATAAGAATTTAAAGCTTAAATTTTCTTTTGTCAACACAGAGAGCTTAAAAACGATTTGGATTCTAGTATGTACCTCTCCATTTGAATAAATAAGAGCACGTTGCACAAGAAATGATTGTGTCAGTTGCGAATATATAACATCTACATGTATAAACTCTCAACAACTCAAAAATTTGATTTTGTTTTCATCGACCTGTCCATTTGTACTCAAACAATATGGTATACTATACAGTACAAAGAAACTTATCGTGTACACACGTGTGTATCACTCATTTTATATCGGGCAGTGCAATGTGTGTGTATATATATATACCTTAAACGCTCGAGAAATCAAGTTGTATACTTCAGGTATAGATAAGTTGCGTGTGCTAGGAACTTCCTACCTATGAACAGCTACAGAACCCTCTGCTGCAAGACACGAAAATATGCAATTTTCTGAAACATGGCTATTATTTCTGATGTCGAGCAGAATCGATCTGACATGGCAATCTGGTGTAATTTGTGCCTTTTGTTCCGACGACAGTCCTAGCGTGTGAAAGTCTGGACTAGGTTGTCACCGGAGAAAAAACGCGATAGACTGACGGAATCGGTATGGTTGGTTATCCTCTGCTGTATTCACGGTTTAGTATGGACTTTTAGGAAGTAGTAAGATAAACGTCGGAACCAGTACGTTTGTCCACCTTATAAAATCCTATTGTTCTACTGCTTTCCAATATTCGCCATTTGCTCCATTTTTAAGTCTTATCTTCTTTTTAAAACAGTGTACTATCCCTTAGCACTCGTGCCTTTTCCAAAAGTCTCTGTATTTTAGTTGTATTTTACCGTTTGTATGACTGAAAATATTACTTATGTTTTGTTTCTTATTGGTATGCACTTATTTTCCTGCTCTATTCCTGTAGTGAATTAATTTATTGATAGCGTAAGTATACATGATAAATAACACTGATATATGCATTGATCTTCAATAGAGCACGATTAAGAATAAACTTTATCAATTAGTTTCATTATACACATAAACAATCCATTACAAAAGAGACAGGATGAGACAAAATCTTTAAATGAAAGAATGCTATAACTTGTGCAGTTGTAGGCGTCCTAGCTAAAAAAACAAATAAACAGGTCTGACCTAATGAACTTTTGGTTTGCTTTAAGCGAATTCTGATTCGATGATGACAAGTAAACTAATCATTAGTCAGATAACACATAAACATACAATGATGTTTACAACGTGGGCAAACATCACTTTTCAAAGTAGTTCTTTCACTCTTTATTGTAACGATGCGGTAAGAAAAAGGATTTGTATATATAT